AAAAAGGAAAACAGTGCTCAAAATTTTCCCCCAAAAATATTATTCCACAATGAGGAGGAAAGAGTAAGCAATTCGGCCAGCATAATTTCTAAAAAAACCAAAAACTAGTGGTCACATTTCTATCCAAACAAAATAAAACAAGAGAGAAATCTGAAGCAAACAGATGAGCATTGCTTAGTTTGCTTGGATCATTTATATGTTCTTATTACTTCGGATGCTTTGTCGAGTCGTTGGTTGCCTAGTTTTCGTTTACGATGAGGCTTTCAAAATGTGATTTGATATACACATTTCAAATTTCTTGTGAAATTTTTAGTAGTGATGATGGAAAAAAAAAATAGCTCAACTGATTATCAAAAGTGAATGTCAAAAAAAAATGGTCATGTTAATTTCACACAGAAAGTGTCTGGTCTTTATGCCTACATAACACAATTGGTGATCATGGATGGAGTTATCTTTGACATCTATGAACTGATTTTGAGCTCTACTTTTCCTTTTTATTTGACATATTCATGTTTGTTCATGTATCGTTGTTTTACAAGCTAAATTATGTCGACACATCTTTTTTTTTTTTACTTAGACATTAGATGGGTAAACAAACAGAAGGTGGGATATCCGCTATTTGGGATAGAAAGACAAGGATAACTTTATGTGATTTATGTTTAAAAGAAGTAGAAAAGAACAATAGACCCACAACATATTTCAATAAAGAAGGCTGACAAAATATAAACAAACTCCTTAAAGAAAGAAGTAGTAAAGTGTACGACAAAACTCTGCAGAAGAATAAATAGGATCAGCTTAAAAGGATTGGAAACTTTGGAAGGAGTTCAAGAGAGTGGTCACTGGCTTAAAATGTGACCCAATTAAAAAAAATAATTGATGCACATGTGGAGTGGTGGCAAGAGAAGATTTCAATAAGTAGAACATCTTACATTCAATATTTCTTAAATTAAAATTTTGCATCTTAGAAGACCAATTTATCAATTGTAGGTTTTACCGAATGCAAAAAATTTAGACTTTCTGGCATTGACCTGGTGCTGAAAAAGAAACAAAATACTAGCAACAGGAGTTGACATCTGGGCCACAACAGAAAAGCCCACCCCTAATTTGGATGAGCCTAAATTTGCTCGTTCAAATGAGATCCACAAGGAACAACCTGAAGAAAGGGAGCAAGGGGAGTCAAGTCACTCCAAGCGACCTGCACCCTCCACACAAAATGAGAAAAAGAAAAGTAAAGTTGGGTCAGCTCATCTATCCCAGCAGATATCAAAGCTGGTGACAAACTGCACCAGCATTACTTCGAGTGCCCGCACTGCTCTCCATGTATACCCAATGATAGCAGATGTTGTGAAGCTACTGGACAAAATTCCAGAAATTTTCGAGGACATGCCCCTATACTTATTTGCGGTAAACTTCCTAGAGGATCGAAACAAACAAGAGTCTTTTTTCACCCTGCTCCCTAAACAGAAAATTATTTACCTCCGTAATTTTTTAGAGAGTCTGACAAGTTAGATGTCATGCACATGTTTTTTTCAATTATTGGTCCTATGGCAGAGTAAATATTTGTAGTATTTGACATTTTTGTTGTAAACTATGGCTTGTGTACTATTTCCGACATTTGATTATTTTTGGATTTCCGTAGTTTTAAAACTTTCATAGCACGCATTTTGAGTATTTACCAGCATTGAGAATAATACGTTCTTTTGAAATAAATTTAACATTATTCTTTCAGACAAATAAAGCCACCAAATGAGAAGATTATAGAGAGAGTTGAGGAAGCTGCAGTCATTACCACCACAGTTTGTGTAATTCATAAGTACTATCAGAGACACATTTGTAAGACACCTTGTGTCATACAAGTGGCAAATGGGTTGATGAACTAATGCCAAGCCAGATTAACAAAATGTTCCAAATGTCAAAAGCTATTTTCTGTGATTTATTAGATGAATTGCAATCCAAATATGGTTTGCATGAATTTTCGTGAATTACATCCTGAAAAGTCCTAGCTATCAAGTTCTTTAGTATGTCGCACATTAAGTTCATTCGTCCAACTTCTGAGCGTTTCCAGCACTCAGCAGAGACAATCAGCGGGTATTTTCATGTCGGGGCTAATTCTCTAGTTAAAATGGCTATGGACATCGTCAACTCATTGGACCCATCTTTTGCTCAAACACCTCGAAAAATTCGTAGTGATCTGAGGTGCATGTCATTTTTTCATCGTATTGATCTTACTCTTTATTCGTCCTTCAATTAATTAAATGAAAGTTATAAATAATTTAAATTATATCTTTTTTTATAATAAAAACAGCATTAGAGCAATTGATGCAACGAATGTTGAAGCACGAGTGAAGAATAAGAATAAGATAGGCTATATCGGTAGGTGTGGAGCTGCAACACAGAACATATTAGCAGTATATGATTTCAACATGTGTTTCGCATTCGTGATGGCTGGTTGGAAAGGGAGTGCACATGACAGCAAAATATTTAAATTTGCAACCCGGTGGGGCCCGAATACAAATTCTTGATTCCTCCCCAAGGTTGGTGTCTTTAACTAATCCGTCAAGATTATATTTCTGTTTGAATTAATCTAGCAATGTTATCGTTATTCAGTAAAGTATTATCTTGTCAATTCGGGATATTCACCACAACGAAGTTTTTTTTAACTCATTTCCCGACACGAGATATCATCTCCCTAACATTGAGCACGGCAGCCAAGTGAATATAGAGAGGAATGAGTTGTTCAACAAAAGACACTCGTCATTACACAGTGTTATTGTGCGAGCGTTCATTGCATTGAAGAAGTGAGTCATACTCCGAGATATGCTTACATTTTTTTTTGAAAAAACACATCAAGATAGTTGTTGCAACAACTGCACTCCATAATTTTATACTTAGACATCCATCCCGAGATGATATTGATTTCGGGATCTTAGATGATGATCCTAGTTACATGCCTGAGGAAGCTAACCAACATCAAGCAGGACCTTCGGTGCAATAAGAGCAATGTAGGACGAACGAATACAATACTTCTAAGGAAGAAGGTGTCGAGGAGATATTAGAGTTGAGAGAGAAAAATACTAATGTTTTGGTGAATGTAATGAGCTTACCTATGTAGCATCACCTAATTATTAGTAGTTGATGATTCATATTTCATCGTCATGTATTTCTCTCAATGTATTTTGTCGAAAAATATATAGCAAACTGTGTTTTACCTTTCTTATTTTTTGCACCGATAAACTTTAATTCTTAATTTTAAGTCTAATTATATTTTTTTAGAATTAATCAAACGTTGTATCAACTTAATTGTTTTTAATTAGAATAGTATAATAATAGAAAATATGAGCTCAAGTTCATCAAGCAATTCGAAAGTTTCACTTTTATAATGTGGTGCAGGTGTGTTCAGTACCAGTCTAGAAGGAAAGGTAGCTACAAGAGAAGATTTTATTCTTGTCTAATAAAACAGAACTCCTCCAGATTAAGACTACTTCCGGTGGGTTGATGACACTGACGAGGTACCTCTAAACTGTGATCAGTTGAAGAGAAATGCAGGGATGGAGAGGAAATTGTCCCGAAGACTTGATCATCATAATTAAGTTAAACATCATTTTAGGTATGCTAATTATCATTGTTGTTCTCGTTATTTTAGTCATTTGTTTCAAGTAGCTAAGCTTTTTTTTATGTATTATAGTATTTTGGATTGGACTATCAGTTTTTTAGCAATACAAACTCATTCTGTTATTCAATTATGAATAATCTAAAAAAGTGCACTTATTCCAATATATTACATATATAAGGGCAAAACAGTATTTCTCAGCAGCGACAACAACATCACAGCAGATCTCACAAACAGACACATTTTTCTTCATCATAAGCTTTCTAACAGCTCCTGAAAAGCTGCTTCTCCAGGAAGCAACTTTACAGGAGCGTCTTGAAAAAACAACAGCAGCCGCCACAAAAGCACCCTTAGCTAGATACAGATAACCCATAGATTTGTCCAAAATGTATGACCTAGTTCAATGTGCCAAGTCTTATAAAATCATTGGAGTTTACACAACCTGCAGTTCGATACAAGAAAGAAATCACTGATTAGTCAAGATTGCATTGAGGTATTACTTACATTTTCTACATAGAATTTATAGGGCATCAAAAATATTAGTTGAACCATAAACACTTGGTTACACAATAGGCTTAGAAAATAAAACACACTCAGGCAAAAGATACTCTAACCATTACCATGGGCAGTCATCACCAGATTACATCCCTGCGCCCCAGGTGGTTGATGGACATCATTGTAGAAATAAATCTAAATAAAAAATGATGAAATCTTCCAATGTCATTATTGCAACCAGCAATCATCTATTAGAATTTAAAATTCCTTAATTCTTCACAAAAGGTATTTTGCAACATTGCATGACATATAAACAATGATTTTAATCATAAATCATCAAAAAGAGATGCAAACATATCACTCCATGTTCTAGCCATCATCAAGATCAAGCAAACAATGATCTCAAAGCTTATACCATCTTATAAAATCAATCAACAAGATTTTCAGTTAAAAAGAGATAAGGGGAGTTCATGGTCGCCTAGCCAATCCTCCTCTCAATGTTACAGCCACACCAAGCTGTCCTGGGGTAACAACACCCACAGCCAAACTAACCATGGGTTCGCATAGCCATAAGAAGTTCCCATACAAGGCATTCACTTCTCTCTGTTTTTCTAAATCACTGCCTCACTTCTCTCTGTTTTTCTAAATGACTGCCTCACATAAAGATATTTTCCAAATATTTTAGGCTGCCAACTAAAAGGGGAGTCATGTGAGTAAAAAAAAACAGCCAAAAAATATAAAGACATGAGAAAAATAACTGCCAGCACATGATATCTCATAGATATGGACCTAGCATACATTAGAGGGAGCTAACAAAGCAGCATCTACAAATTCTCGCAGCAAACAGAAGGGAAACACCTGCCAATTACCCTAGTGAAGATCCTGACATGATTACCTGAATCATTGATTCAGAGAAAGAAGAACCCCCACAAAGACAACGAACTTTCATGTCCAAGTGACTGAGATCCTCCCTTTCCTCTGGTGGATTTACAGTTTTTACGTCTGAGATACAAGTGTTTTTTGATGCCAAATCATTAGCACCAGATTGTTGCATTTTTCTGCAACAGCAATAAAAGAGAAAAACAATGAGACTTTATAACACTCATATAACATTATAGTAAACATATAAAAAAATTATATCGCATCCCTTGAAAAGAACATTCACTATGAGTGTCAAGTAGAAAAACAAACTGAGTTTATGCCTGATAGTCCGCCAGGGCTTAAAAAACAGAATCCACATGATAAATAATAGAAAAAGATCAAAAATAAGGTTTAGGATTCACCTGTAAGTGTCATCAACAATCTTCGCAACTCTATCTTTTCCAATAGAAATTTTCTTTGCCAATCCAGGAGTTGCAACTACACAAAAGGAACTTTTCATGTCACAAAGAATCAAAGTACAAGCCGCACATTGAAAAATAACAAAAGAAAAAAATGTTTTTAAATGACTTAGATATCGTTCGGCAATAAACAGTCAATTAAAAGCAAAGTTTACTGCAACTTTAGGTCAACAGTATAACAACAACAATAACAAAGCCTAAATCCTACTAACTAGGGTTAGCTACATGAATCCTTTCTCTCCATTGTGCCCTATTCATCGTCATAATTTCATTTAATTCTAATAAATTAAGATCACTTTTTATACAACATTCCCAAATCTTTTTAGGACTACCTCCTCCACCTTTCTTATCATAAGTCATATCTATAACATTTACTCTCCTAAATAGGTCATTAAATGGTCCATGGTTAATATGAGCAAATCATGTAAGACAACTTTCTTGAATCTTGTCTACCACTAGAACCCCTCCAACCCATTCACGAATATATTTGTTTTGCATTTTTTCACTAATTGTAAAGTCACTCATCCTCTTGAGCATTCATTTAAGTGACACTTAACATAATTTCATGCTTCTCTTTTATAGGCCAAATTCTGAGCCATAAAGCATTGTAGGTCTCACAAACATCTGTTGGCACCGATCGCCCGCTCGCCCTCCTTTCGTTCATTCTCGATTCACTTCTCTCTTTCTCATTTTTCATCCTTGTCATCAGTCTTCAATGTGTTGTCGCTATCGTGGAGTCGCCAATTTGTCACTTGTTATGTTGCCCTTTACCAAACTAATCATTTTCATGAAGGATTAAAGGACTATGGTCGATAATAACAGAAACAAATAAAAGGAATATGCGGGGAGGCCTTACATGAAGATTAGATACACGCATCTTTAAAGCATATATTAGAAATAACTTAAAGATATAATTGCGTAAGAATCCTTATGAAAGCTGATAACCAGAGAATTCAAATTGACACATTCGTTCTGGGGTTCTTATCTTCCTATAAGAACAAGCCACTATGGTTAAGTACATTTTAAATAGTGAAGACTATTTAAAAAAACCTCCATTAAGATTAAAAAAATCTTCTCAAAAGATTTATAGGTTATGGTCAAGGAAAAAAACATCAACGTATCATTTTAAAGGTAGTAGAACCCTAAAGAGTTCGACTATCCTATAGATTTATGTTCAGTTGAAATTTATCTTCTATTCCAGATCTTCAATGCTCATCTCTGCCCAACAAAGTTAGCACATCCTAGGATGACGGTCCACTCCTCTTGAGTAGTCTTGCAAAACAAAGAGAAAAAAAGCAATTTTTATTTTGTTTATTTTGTTTGTTGATTTTTAAATTTTTAGAAAACTCAGTCAAGATGTTTATGGCTCCATCGTTCTGAGCGTCGGATATCTGAATCTACTTAGTCTGAGAGTTGGTTAAACATACTCTAACCGGAATATTTTTGTAAACAACCACAGATTGCATCGTCCAGAAGATCTTCGTAGATCCAAGTAATTGGGTTAAAGTTGCGTTCGGTAATCTTTGTTCATTAAGATTTCATTTAAATTTTAATGTTTTTTTTTTTTTTATTTTAGGGGTTGAAAATTTTAGGTTGCTTAAAATTTATTAGCCGGTTGATTTTTTTCATTTTATTTTTATTTTTATTCAGAATGACCCGATCAAGATCTCATTGTTCTGTCATCCCGGGTTATTTTGGTTTGCAGTTCGATTAATCACAAATGATTGGAAGATATTTTGTTGGCAACCATGTGTTACCTCCTCCAAAATATTTCTCAAACCAAGTTGCATTTTTTTTTTATTCAGGTTTAAGTTTTAAAGTCTTTTAAGGTTGATTTTAGGTAGTTTAATACCTTAGCCCAAATTATTACCGATTGAGGTACAATATGTCTTATGTTCTCATATGAGAAATAAAGCCATATTTATCCTTCAATCACTTGGCTTAAGACAGTTTTTTGAGTAATTCAAGTTGAATTGAATTAATCTAAAACAAGTTTCCGGATAAGCTGAGTTTAAACTTTATTAGGCTAATTGTCCCTCAGATCATCTTCAAGCTTGGTTGATTTGACTAAAGCTCACTAGGATTGAGCTAAGTTTATTTAGTTTGATTGGAATCAAACACTTAGATCAATTTGATGTTATTCATGTTCAAACTATTTAGACTTGGACAAAGTCTAAGTTAGTTTAAACTTGAATTATGCTTTAGATCTCTTTAGACTTAAATCATTCCTAGATCAGGCTGAAGTTAAAGATTTTCAGAGTTAAGTCTGATTATCTAAGTGATTTAACTGAATTGAAGTAACCAAAATAGGTCTTGATTAACCTTGGAATTCAATTTGAACATGACTTAAAATATATTAGACTCCTAAGTCCAAATTACTTAGATTGGATTTAGGTTATATTAAACACAATAGAATTTATTTTAGGTCTAGGGTGAGTTAGACCTAACATTTTAACTCATCATGAATGAAGTCTAATATATTTAGTAGTTGAGTTCAATTTAGACTTAGGTTCAATTTAGGATGAACCTAAGGGTTAGAAGTTTAAGTCAAAGTTACTTTGGACTTAAATTTGACTTCAATTTAAATTGAACCCAAAGGTTAAAGTTAAGCCCAATTTAGTTTGGACTTTAGACTTAAGTTCAATTTGGATTTGAATCTAAGGGTTAGAAGTTGAGATCAATTTAGACTTAGGTTCAACTTAGGCTGAACCTAAGGGTTAGAAGTTTAAGTCTAAGTTCGTTTGGACTTAAATTTGAGTTCAATTTAAATTGAACCCAAAGGTTAAAGCTAAAGCCCAAGTTAATTTGGGCTGACTTACATTCAATTTGAATTTGAAACTAAGGGTTAAAAGTTGAGTTCAATTTAGCCTTAGGTTCAATTTAGGTTGAACCTAAGGGTTAGAAGTTTAAGTCCAAGTTAGTTTGGACTTAAATTTAAGTTAAATTTAAATTGAACCCAAAGGTTTAAGCTAAGCCCAAGTTAGTTTGAACTTAGACTTAGGTTCATTTGGGTTGAATCTAAGGTTTATGTTGACTTAGGTTCAATTTTAGTTGAACCTAAGGTTTAGGTTGGGTCTAATGTAAGTTAGACCCAAGGTTTAGGGTTAAGCCTAAGTTGAGTTGGACTTAAGGATTAGGGTTCGGTTTTAGGTCTAAGTGAGTTATACCTAAAGATTAGGATTAGGTTTAGGCCTAAATTGGGTTAGTCCTAACGATTAGAGTTAAGCCTAATTTGATTAAGACTTAAGGGTTAAGTTTATGTCCAAGATGGGTTAGACCTAAAAATTAGAGTTAAGCCTAATTTGGTTGAGGCTTAAGAGTTAAGTTTAGGTCCAAGATGGGTTAGCACTAAAAATTAGGATTAAGCTTAATTTGGTTGATACTTAAGGGTTAAGTTTAGGTTTAAGTTGGGTTAGACCTAAAAATTAAGGTTAAGCCTAATTTGGTTGAGGCTTAAAGGTTAATTTTAGATCCAAGATGGGTTAGACCAAAAAATTAGGGCTAAGTCAACCCAAAAACCACTTTTAATCCTTTATACCAAAGGATTAAAAGTAATAAACCAAGTTTGGGAAATTTTGGGCTAAGGCGTAAATTTTATTATTTACATTTCTACCCCTAGATGTTTAAATTGTCACTTTAGACTTTTTCAATTGTCGGAAGTTTTATTTTAAGAATTAATTTGATTACCATAAATTTCTTACAAGTTTTTCATTTAGGTTTCCAATTTTTTTATTTTTTTATAATTATTTTTTAAAATAATTATAAGGTTGATAGAAAATTGGTGATTTTTAATTTAGGGATATTTTCTAAAGTTGAAAAAATTAGAGAATGTTTTCAAAAATGAAAGAAGTGATCCCTGCAAATTTCATAATTTTTATATTTATATTTAATTTTTAATAATTAAAATAGTCTCTGGAGTATTTAATTAATTAAAAATTAAATATAATTCATTTATTGTCAATTTTTTTTTATAATTTTTCCCTCTGTCTCCTGAGTCCAGAGATATTTTGGTTCATTTTTGTGATTTTTATAGGCAAATATATCATTTTTTAAAGTTAATTAGGGTTTTCTGGAATTAATTAATTCAGAAATCCCTAATTATCTATTTATATGACGCGCTGCCATATGGGTCTTAAATTCATTCTTTTTAATTAATTAATTAATTATGAGAATGAAAAATTGATCATGAGACCATAAATTGACCATAGTGGTTTAGGGTTGACCATTTGACCCTTGATTGATTATTGGACCAATGTTCACCATTTAGACCATAGGTTAACCAATTAGACCATGGGTTGACCAAAATAATCAATTTGACCATATGTGGATTAGGTTGACCATATGGCCATTTGGATTGATCCTATGGTCCAGTGTTGACCATGTTGACCAAAGGTTGACCATATGGTGATGTGTTGCCATATGGTGGTGTGTTGATCATATGGTGGTTAGGTTGACCATAGGGTCAATGGATTGGTCATATGGTCCATTGTTGACCATATTGACCAAGGGTTGACCAGGATGGTCAAGTTGACCATGTGGTGATGTGTTGACTATATGGACTCATCTATGTCAAGATAAGGTTACGTTTCATTTGATTTTACTACCCTAAAGTTCTATCCCTTTTTGGATTAAAAGGGACAAATTAGGGTTTTGGTCTGAAATTTAGTGTTTGGTAGGGCTAGGAAAGCCACTGGTGGGGCCAGAGGTTAACTTAGGCAGACTCTCTCTTAGGGTGAATTTGGTAGTCATAGTGATCCCTAGGGTTTTCAGACAAGTTACTAGAATTTCAAACTAGTTTAGAGGACCTAAGGTAGAATAACAACTCCTTAGGGTTTCAAGTTCATCTAAGTGATATGGGGTATGTCTTCCCCCAGGTAATCAATTCAGGTACTCACCCAATCAAAACCCTTAACGCACTCAGCCAAAAGGTTGGAGGCTTGAGCTTGTGTAGCTAGTAGGGAAAAGTCCTCACAAAAGTGAGGTTAACACCATCTTATAAAAGTTTTCTTTAAGTCTAAGTGATACTTTTCTATCACACAAAAGAGTCGATGCATTCCTTCACTTCAACCATCCAACTTGAATTCTACTGATAACATCTCGATCTATATCTCCATCACTTTGAACAATAGACCCGAGATATCTAAAACACTCACTCCTTTTAATGACTTGATCACACATTGTTGCAACACCGCCACTAGATTTACTACTACTAAATTACATTATGTATTCTGTTTTAGCTCTACTCAAACAAAAGCTTTTAAACTCTACATCTGACCTTCATAATTCAAGTTTTTCCTGAACTTCCTCTCTAGTTCTATGCACAAGAAAGATATCATCAACAAAAAGCATACACCAAGGTACATCCTCCTGTAAATGTTCAGTAAGAACATACATAAATAAAGCAAAAAGATATGGTCTTAAAGTCGATCCCTGAAAATAAGAAAATACTTGGTAATTCCTCCTTGTGTATGTGTTTTATTTTTTATTTTTTTATTTTATTGTTTTGGTCAATGCACCTTGTAGTTATAGCTCTTATATACAAATCTTTAATGATTTGAATATAAATAATATCAACACCTTTCCTTTCTAGAACTCTCCAAAATACTTCTTTTGGTACATTATCATAAGTCCTTTCTAAATCAACAAAAATCATATGTAGATCATCCTTCTCCTCCTTACTCTCTATATACTTCTCTATCAAACATCTCAATAAAGTTATAGCTGCAATGACAGACTTGTCCGGCATGAATCCAAACTAATTTTAAAAAATTTTATATCACTTTGTTAATTATATTCAATTACTCTCTTCAATAGTTTTAGCGTATGACACATTAACTTAATTCTTCGATAATTTGCATACTTTCGTGCATCCGCTTTATTTTTAAAAATATAAACCAATAAACTCTTTCTCCACTCATCAGACATCATTTTAAATATTAAAATAATATTTTAAATTTTAGTAAACCAATAAATTCTCACTATCTCCAAAACATTTTCCCACTTCTATTGTAAACTTATCAAAGACCCCTATGTTTAATATCCTAATCTAAAAAAAAATACTTTTTTAATTTTCAAACTTAATACACTTGAACTAAATCTTTACTTTTCTTATATCTTTCTTCAGCTAGTTTATACATATATCTTTCATTTTCTTTAATATTTAATCTATTAAAAAGATAACCAAAAATAGAATTAATAACATCACAAATTATTCTTTGAGACTCGTTGCGGGTCAATTTATATTTTTCCAAAATCTCCAAGTTTTTACATCTAAGCCAATTTTTATAATAAAATTTCTTATTTTAATTTCTTTCTTGCATATTATTATTTCATCATAAACTATTTTTATTTATAAGAGTTTTTTGTTTGATTCTTCACACATTTTTTGCAGCTTGCTTAATAGAACTTGTTGCTTTATCCACATGACATTAATTTTTTATGGACATCACAAATCTTATGATCTCACAATTTATTCATAAAAATAATTATGCTCGTCTTTTAAGTGCCCCATCAAATTATATGAAAATATTTTATTATATTCTTAAGTCCAACTCAACTTAGGCTTAAAATTTAAAATAAATAATCGATATTAGGTACTTAAATTTTCACTTAGAATGACCTTACAATCTTTACAATCCTAGCGATCTATTTTTCTCAAAAAAAATAATCAATTTATATTTTATTAAATCAACTCTTATAAGTGATGAGATGCGCATCTCTTTTCTTAAATAAAGGGTTATCATTAACAAATCATAAGTTAAAACAAATTTCAATATGAATCTACATCACTCCAAATTCAGTCACATAAATACTTCTAAAATCTTCTGTCACTCTACCAAGATGTCCTTTTAAATTTTCTCCAATAAAAATTATTGCTTCAATAGATATCGTTTGTAATAATTCTTCTAGATCATTCAAAAAAAAAATTTCAACATATATCCAAACCTACTTATAGAGGATAAACACTTATAAAAGCAAAAATCTTAATGCTGAAGATAATCTTAATGCTATAATTCCATATTCAGTTCTGCTAATTTTTACAACATTACTCCTCAAACTGTTATCAATAATTACACATATAATATTTCTAATACTAATTTCTACCTGAATACTAAAGTTTAAACCCAAGCAATCAATTTCCTTAGTCTTTTCTGCAATCCTTTTAATTTATTAAAAGCATAATACATTTATCTTCTTATAAACCATAATAATTATTAATTCAGTTAATTTACCTGTGAGAGAACATATATTGGAATTTTATGGACGAACTTTTTTGCTCGCATCTATCCATAATGTGAAAACTTTTGTTTATTTAACACTACACACAGGTGAAGGTGCAACGGCCCTTGCACATTTTTTGTTGTAATCAGGTCATAGACGCATCGCTTCCAGATGACGCCCAAAAATTGACACAATGATTTAAAAGATTTATCATAATTTTTCGACAATAATTTTTATGTTGAATGTTGATTACCTAACACAAACCTTCACTTCTTGTAATCAAGACTTGAAATCTAACAATGACAATAAAAAAACTCTACTAAAAATATTTAAAAATGAATATTTCAATAGCATGTATTCTTTGTTTTTCTCTGTATGTCTTATACTCTAGAATACAAATTGGAAGGTAAATATCAAATTTATGAACTCAAGACCAGATGCAATTACAAAGTCTCATCAAACTTGGTGGTATTACAACACCCCTCCCAAACAAAAACAAAGGGAACCAACAAATTCATATGTTAGTGCTTGTCGTGATCAAATCATTAGAAATTTGATGGAAGAAAAAAAATAACCGGTTGAATTTCAATCTCTGGGTAGTGATTTCATGAATGGAGATAAAAAGGTACTGTTTTTGTAAATAATCATGATTCGAAAAGTATGAATGAAAATGCCACCGATTAGACACATTAGTGTTGGTACTCTAATAACAATATTAGACTGGAAAACGTGAAAAAATATACAAAAGCAGTTTAAGCATAAAAACTCTGATAGGATAATTTCATGAAAGACTAGAGCTTCTAAACAATGTCTGACAAAGAAGAAATCATTTAAAGCTATGGCTGCGCTCAAATTTTGCGTATAACTGTACATACAAACTCAATACTTATAGAAATAGACCATCGAAATTTGAGCAAAATCTTCATCGAAAATTTTTTTTGTTTCAAGAGATGCCCTTCTAATTATATGCCATTTGATAATCCAAGGGGAAACTTACTCTTTAGGAAATAGAAATAATAGAAGTTCAATGAAAAATGATTCTATTTTGAAGAATGAAAATAAGCATTACCTTGTTCATCTGAAAGCACAGATAATATTCTATCCATGAGATCCTGCATATCATACAAAGAAATAACAAAATTATTTAAATCTGAAAGTGACAGGTAAGGAAAAGTTATGTACATAATTACGATCAAGTTAGGATAAAATCATTGCTCCTCATCCACTAAGCCGAACAAAAATGATAAAAGAGAATTTTAAAGCGCCAAAATAAATGGATATATAGTTAGACATAAGGGTGTTAACAGATGCAAGCACTCTGCCTTCTTTGCACTCATCCGCGTTCACATTTTGAAAGTCCAAAATCAAGTTCATCTGGACAAGGATTAAGAGCACACTCAATGCCACAAAAGATGTAAGATGTCTGGTATTGTTTTGTCTTTTACATGGTTCCAGGGCGTTTATACTTTAATTTGTTTATGTATTCAAGGAAAATAAACATTTTTAGTATTTTATGTGAAATAGAAGCATGTGCATATGTTATGTGACAACAGAAATATTTTATTCATATAATAAAAAAAATAAAGATATTTATTTCTATGATAAACAAATTGAGAAAGTAATATATCCTAGCAAGCACCAATTTAACAATTCTTAGCTAATTAGTGAATTACATTAATAATATAGAAATTATTAGATACACAGTTATAAAAAAAACAAACAACAATAAAACAATGGCAATACTCAGTACATTAAAATTTTGATAAATTTAAATCAAAATTTATTAATTCATTAATTGAAGCATAATAATATAAGTTTAATCCTAAATTTTCAAATTGCAATTTAAGATAGAAATTGAGTATTCAATAAGGAAGCTAAATCATACTTGTTTTTAATCAAATTGATAAATATTTTTTCATTAAAGAGTAGAGAACACACGTTAAGATGTATGAATCAGCCTAGGAACAAAAGAAGATGATTTGTAAGTAGAAAAATTAGTCGCCACTTAATTGTACTGCTAAAATAGAACCAAATTCATCTTCTACTTCTAGTTCTGAAAACACAGTAAAAACAAGGATATCCCTATTAGATCTTCCAAAGATTACTCACATGGTCACACCCTACTAACACAGCCAAACCACCATGTATTATGCTTCTCATTATCACACCATGTGGATTTTAAACCTGGGGTGATACAACTGTTGCCGCATTTTATGGTGTGGAAAATAGAAATTCTTGTGTGCCCATTAGGCCACTTCCCATAGCCAGCTCAAGGTTATAGACTTCTTAGGCTTATGCTATATAATATAAATCTAACAAAAAATTGTATTTTAGAGAGAGAGAATAGTTTTGTAACTTCTTAGAGAGGATTTTGCATTATCCCTCTAGCTATGAGCTTATCAACTTTATGTAATTTTTTGTTTATGGCATTATATTTAACTGAATTCATTAAGGAGTTTATTAGAAAAATTACCTTTTTTTTAAATGAAAAAAGTATCAACTCCCTTCTATTACGTAAAATCCTTAGCTGAAAGCATAGCATTGAAAGTCTCCACTAAATAAGCTAAATCATTGAAGTGTTACTATCATAGCATAGCATCAACTAAAGTTAACAGGCTAAGGGTAAATGACCACCAATGATATCCATCAGAGTAACATCTCAGCTTTCCTCATTTTGCGCTCTCCAAAGAGCAACTATTCTCAAAAATCTCAAAGTGCAATGAATTATTACATCATTCTAATAATTTTTTTGATTCTTGATTCCATGGCTTGTGAGGCGTAGTCCTTCCCTGTAACTTAAACAAGCATTTAATTCTCTCATTTTATATAATTTTTTATAAAGGTGGCATTTAATTCTCTTATTTTTGTCTCCTTTCTTATTAAGGATGTTTAGCAACTAGGAGGCCTATGAGTTAATAGGCATTACTTAGGCCCATCTGATTGACCTAACATAAGAGCTAAAACATGCCATTCTAAACACAACTTGCACCTTTGCACATTTTGCACTCTCCAAAAAGCAACTATTCTGAAAATCTCAAAGATTGATGAGTTGTAAAACTATTCTAAGAATTTTTGTGATTCAAGATGACATGGTTTTATAAGGGGTAGTCATCCCTTTTAATTTAAAACATCATTTAGTTTTCTTTTTTTATCTTATTTTTTATTAGGGGCAGTATGGAAATTATGTGACCTAGTTCATAGGTGTTTCTTATGAATACCAATGCTAAGATGAATTGAGGGAGCCTTTTTTCTTTTTAGTTTTTTTTTTTCAGGATATCCTAAGAGTAATAGAATGAATTCCCTATGTTTTAAGACGTGAGAATTGAGAAAATCATGTGGGTTCTAAGATCTTGCCAGTATTAATTTGCCCAAGATAGCCTAAATCTTCTCTTGTTGTTTTTCAGTGAGGTCCAATAATTTCAACGGATGGAGGTGATACCCAAGACAGTGATGCAGGAGCTCCATTGCAGATACTGCGGTCCCTCAGTACCTCAACCACAAGACCTGAGATTGCGGGATTTTGCACACCGAGGAATCGATCCCATGGATGTGGGAAGATGGTTCTACATGATCCTTACAATTTTCCAAATCAGCAGGAGTTCTTCCTCGCGCAACAAAACCGCTAACTTCCAATTTTCGCTTTTTTTTCCTTTTTGATTTATTTCATATTATTCTATTTCTAATAAGGATTTTTTCTGTATGAGAACTATTTATATCCTATTGTTTCAAGTTTGTCAGATTTTTCGATATTGTTATGTTATTTGGAGAAGTTCTTCCGTTTTCTCTATCGGAGTGTTGGAGCATTGAATTTCTTTCATATGGTGTACCCATAGCCTGATAAGATCAAAGTGATCTCTCCCGGATGTTTGAAGGCTTCTTTCATCAATCATCTTGCTACCTACTGCTGTTTGACAACAGAAAATAGCAGTTTTCCGCTTTTGGTTTGCTGTCCTTCCGGCGTTCACACCTGATTTCCGCCAACATCTCTCCTCTCACTTCCTACAAGCTACCTACCTCTTTATTGTGTTCTTAAATAATTTTCAAAAAGCCCTAAAACGATATAATCTGGCATCAGAGCCAGGCAAACCCTAGAATTTTTACAGTTTTGTCTTTCATATCCTAATCTTAAATTTCAACAAAAAAAATCTCAACCATAACCAAATCCTTCTTACTACAATTCCCAACTCCAACGCTAAATTTTCAAAATCTAACTTTTTCATTTCCACTAAAAATCCATCTCAACACCTACCACAAAATCTTGAACCATAATTTTCTTTTCCGTCAAAAATTCCATTAGAAGAACAACACGTCATGCCGCTAAAAAGAAATCTGCAAAGAGGCATCCAAGAGCTTACATGAAAGAAATGTAGCGAGAAATCCTTCAGCCGCAATAAAGCTTACAGCTTTTGAGAAGAGACAATCTGGTGAAATCACCTATAGCCGCAACAATGACTTGTCAGATCGAGAAGAGGAAGTGAATTCCTATTGTGTCAGACAGTTTCCAACGATGAACCAATAACCCGAAGATTTAGCATAGGATATCAGCGAAAAAGCCAGGAGTTTGGAATAAAGACTAACTTATCAGATTTTAACGATCGCATGAATACAAACGAATTCATCGAGTGACTATGGGTAGTGGAGCGGGTCATTAAAAATAAGGATATTCAAAAAGACATAATTGTAAAGTTAGTCATCCGTAAGTTAAAGAAGAGTGCATCTCTGTAATGAGAAAATCTGAGACGCCTATGCAAACGATAGGGAAACAACAAAATCACAACTAGGTTTAAGATGAAAAGGAAAATATAATACAAATATCTTCCCCCGCATTGCCAACATGATATGTTCATTAAACTTCACCTACGCCAGAAATATTCTTTTGTTGAGTACGTAGTTTAATTTGATTAACTCGTACTTAAATGTTGGTTGATGAAACCAGAGGAGGTCTCGAAGGATTGAGGTTGTCTATTATGAATGTGATGCAGCTGCAGCCATATTGGTCCCTCTTCGATGTACAAACCCCCAATTTGAAAATGAAAAAATAAAATATCTATGAAAATTGAGATTGTCTATTAGGAATGCAGTCACCGGGGCTTACACGCATAATTTAACAATAAGATCAGACAACAAGAGTATAGACCTAATAGAGCATTCCAATCAACACCACATGATAAAAAGTCAGTTCAAAATGCAGAAAAATTGGAGACCTTCAACACTCACAAACTCGTCCTAGCAAAGAAATACATCAACTCTCAAAGCTTTGAGCATATTGCATGTGATTGCCGAAGGAGAGTGATTCCCCTCTATGAACAGAGAGCAATTGAAGAAATGGATAGTGACATAGGAGACACTGAAGAAGGTGAGGACGCAAAGGAATAATATCAGCTTATAGACGATGAAGAAAAGATACTAGTGATTCAAGCCGAGCCCATGAGAGATACTTCAGCAGAACTCACATTGGTTGTCCTCGAAAGTACCAAGTTAGAGATAACAAGAATTCATATATAGTTTGAAGATGTGGTAACACAAATGATGTGTATCAAATATGCATCTATGTTATTTTTATCTTAGTGTATTTTTTTATCTTTTGTGTGGGTATTTTAATCTTTTATGCAGTATAGAGATGATCAGCTGCAGGCTGCCCAGGTGCCCCTTTTCCCAGTCTGGGAGCACCTTTGCCATCTTGGCTACCTAGGCTCTTGATCTGGGTGCCTAGGCGCCTAAAGACAGGGCCCAAGCAACCAGGCGCCCGATGATAGAGCCCCACACACTAGTTCTAGGAGGCGGTGGTAAAGCATTGAGAACTGGAGTGGCCTGGGCGCCTAAAGACTCATCTGATCAATAGATTGTTTAATTTAGTCGGACAGGTGTAGGCTGTTGCACATCATGATCTCCATGAGCCTAAGTAACATTAACAGCTTGCTCAACCTGATGAGGCAGTAGTGAAGCAGTAGAAGTATTGCCACCTGAAAAATCGGTGATAGGTTCTAGGGCAGGTGGGGTCTAAAGAATCTCCCTCTCCCCCACGATAGTAGGTTCCAAAGGTGAAGGAGCTACAACATTGTTTGGGGACTGAATGGTTGTCATATCGCCTGCGGGATAGTGACTGCTTCAG